TTCTATACAGAGATTAATTTTGGTTTACTGTGTATCTACTAACTTAATGAAGTCCCCTCCCAGCAACAGAGATGTCCATTTGAATTGATTAGGATTCTCTGAATTTTAAGCACAGAAAATACAACCCATCTGGCTTAAGCAAAAGTGCGATTTTTTGGCTCATTTAACTGTGAAGTTGTAGCTGCTTCTAGATACTCTGGATCCAGAAGCCAGAATGAAGACATCAAGACATACTTTCTCTTTGTTTCGCTTTTTTCTGTGATGGTTTTGAGTGGCTTGACCCCATGGAGTCAAAAAACAGTCACCAACAAACCTAGATATCTTTAGCCCTTAAATCTGGAAGTCTCTGTAAAGGAAGCCAGTTTCTTTCCCACTGATATCCGCAAAAGTGTTGGGTTAGCTCACAAGAACCACACCTAAGCAATCACTGCATCCAGGAAGAGAATAATCTGATTGGTTGAGCCTGTGTCATGTGGCCCTCTAGATTCAGAAAGCGGTGAGGAGCCACGTTGAACCGAATGAATTCAGAACAGAAGGAAAGTGATTTCAGAAAGAGAATCCAGGCAAACAAAACAACAGCAACAACAACAAAAACCACATACCCTGACCACATCTACATACAAGATTTATATGGAAGATCATCCCAAACAAAATTAAAAAGCAAAAAAATTAGTTATTTTCAAAAAATTATCACACAAAGAAGAAAGTTACTTTACTTTAAAAAATAGAAATGATACTACATTCTTTGACTAGAAGCAGTGAAACTGAAAATTACTGACAAAAAATAGCTTAAAATTCAACTATAAAATTTCAACAATCTCCTAATTTTTAGCAAATAGCAAAGATAAAATAGAAACTGAAATGACATATTAAGAACTCGATAACACTACATATAAAAGTTAAGGAATGTGGCTAAAGCCACATATAGAGGAAAATATACAGCTTTAAATGTTTAATAAATAAGAGACTTAAAAACATATCTCAGAAAGCTAAAAGAAAAACGAAATAGCAAAAGAAAATAAACCTAGAAAATGTAAGAGTATTTTAACAACTTTTTCAGATAATTGTAGATATTCTTCTTTGGTTCTATATCAAAGCTCAACAGTGATAACTTCTTAAAGTTTAATTGCAGTGTGGAATCTGAAATCATATAATGAACTTTTCATATTCTATTACATTAAAATCACTGGTCTATCTTGCATTTTGAATGGAAACTCTTTTTACCTAGACAGGATTTTATAACATCATGCATTGGTTATTTAGAAAATATCAGTTCACTAGGTTTTGCAAGTCTTCCAAACTTGACACATTGCATCATACAATATCAAAATTACATTTGTTAATACCACCATCGTGAAAAGTCTAAGTATTGGGGTGTCAAACAGATATAAGGTATACATGGTAGCAGATATAAACTTTCCAAAATTCTAATTTTTGCTTAAAAGCTTGAATTTATCATTGGCGACAATACTTTCAATAGTTTTTATTGAAGTGAGAGGCTTACTGTCCATTTTCAAGAAAATGTCTGCCAGTCTAAATGAACATAGCTGATCCATTGTTCCTTCAACTAAAGATGGTGTTCCATGAAAAAAGTGGCTATTTCAGCTTGCAACTCAAACAAGCATTTCCTTGAAACAACCAACATATTTCACCATTGAAAGTGCTTTATGCCTCTTCCTCTTAGTACTGCTTTTGCTGCATCTCATAAGTTTTGGTATGTTGCCTTTTAATTTTCATTTGCCTCAAGATATTCTCTAAATTTCCGTGTGATTTCTCCCGTGACCCATTGGTAGTTCAAGAGTGTGATGCTTAATTTCCACATCTTTGTGAATTTTCCAGTGTTCTTTTTGCTATTGATTTCTAGTTTCATTCCATTATGTTCAGAAAAGGTACTTGGTATGATTTTAATCTTCTTAAATTTATTAATACTTGTTTTGTGACTTGACATATGGTCTATCCTGGAAAATGTTCTATGTGTTCTTAAAAAGAATATGCATTCTATTATTGTTGGATGGACTATTCTATATATCTGTTAGGTCTGTTTAGTCTATTGTGTTTTTCAACTCCTCTATTTCTTCATTGAGCTTCTGTCAGGTTGTTCTATCCATTATTGAAAATGGGGCATTAAAATCTCCTACTATTGGGTGCCTGGATGGTTCAATTGATTAAGCGTCTGCCTTCGGCTCTGGTTGTGATCCCAGGGTCCTGCTCAGCAGGGAGTTTGCTTCTCCCTCTCCCTCTGCCCCTTCCCCTTTGCTAGTATGCTCTCTCTCTCTTTCAAATAAATAAAATCTTCAAATAAAATAAAATAAAATCTCCTACTATTATTGTGTTACTGTCTATTTCTCCTTTCAGTTCTGTCAATGTTTGCTTCATAAGTTTAGGTGCTCAACTGTTGCATATATATTTATAATGGTTATATCTTCGTGGTGAATTGAGCCTATTACCATATAATGTCCTTACCTTGTTTCTTGTGACATATTCTGACTTAAAGTCCATTTTTTCTCATATAATTATGTTCATCTCTCACTCTTCTTTTTTAAGATTTCATTTATTTATTTGACAGAGAGAGAGAGAGAGTAGGAGCAGGGGGAGCTGCCGAGGGAGAAGCAGGCTCTCTGCTGAGCAAGGAGCTGCATGCGGGACTCAATCCCATCACGCTGGGATCGTGACCTTGGTGTGGACCTCTTTGGGTTCATCCTAGTTGAAGTTTATTGAACTTCTTGAATTTGGATACCCATTTCCTTCCTCAGATTTGGGAAATTTTCAGCCACTATTTCTTAAAATAAGCTCACTATGCCTCTTTCCCCCACTCTTCTTCTGACTCCTATAATGTGTATATTGGTCCACTTGATGGTTTCCCATAAGTCTCAGGATTTTTTTCACTTTTCTTCATTCTTTTTGTTCCACTGACTTGATAATTTCAAATGACCTGTGTTTTGGTTCATTAATTCTTTCTTGTGTTTAGTCAAGTCTACTTTTGAACCCCTCTAGTGAATTTTTCAATTCAGTTATTGTATTCTTCAGCTCCAGAATTTTTAAAAGGAGGCTTTCTCTTTTTCTTTCTTTCTTTCTTCCTTCCTTTATTTCTTTCTCTAGCTCTTTGTTGATATTCTCATTCTATTCATGCATCCTTTCCCTGATTTTGCTTAGTTGTTTATATGTGCTTTTTTTGGTAGCATTTTGAGTTATTTTGGATTTTTTGTATGGTGATTTATAGATCTCCATTTCTTTAGGGTTGGGGTGTTTTTAGATTTATTATGTTCCTTTGATTGCACCATATTTACCTGTTTCTTCATGTGCCTTGTTAATTTTTGTTGTGGTTATGCATTTGGAAATATAGCCACCTTTCCATCTTTACAGATTGGCTCTATACAGGGAAGACTTTCACAATCAGCATAGTTAGAGATTCTGGGGGGCTTTCAAATCATTTTTGGGGTGTGTGCCTTCTCTGGGCTTGTGTTTGTAATTTCCCAGTTAGAGAGATTTGTTGGTCTTTTTCAGGAGCTTGTTGTCTTTTGCTCCCTTTAGTGTGTGTTGGTGATACTACAGGTTCTCTGGTGTTGCAACAAGCTGCTAAGTTCCCTTTTCTTCTTGTGGCCCCAGGCATCTAAAGCATGCCAGTTCTGTCAGTGCTCCAAGTCAGAGGAGATAGAAACAAATATTTTGAGCAGCTTCCCCAAAGCCAGAATATTGGGCCCTAATTCCAGTCTCTTCTTTCCCTTCCAAGGGAGAAGCTACAAGCTGAGCACTTTCTGCTGATTGTGCCAAGTTGTGCTGGCTTCTATCTGTGATATACTACACATTCTCCAGTGCTGCAACAAGTGGCTGAGCTCTCTTTTGTTCTCAGCTGCCCCCCAGGAATCCAAAGTATACAGGTTCTTCATTAGTACTCTGAGTCAGGCAAGACAGAAATCAGACTCATGGGCAGTCCTCCCAAAAGCTGGAACATTGGACCTAAGTTCCACTCTTCTCTTTCCCTCCCAAGAGAAAAGCCCTGAATTGGGCTTTTTCTCCCCATCACACTGAGCTGTGCTGGCCTGGGGAAGGAGCAATTGCAGGTTAAATAAATTGGCTTTTCTTATTTGTTTCAGTGGATTGTTCTTTCTTTGCTTTGAGTTTTTATGGGTTACTATGATTTCTTAACTGGTTTCCAGAGTTCTCATAAAGACTTTTTGGACTGTATATTGTTGCTAAGTCAATGTCTCTATAGGGGAACAAGATCTGGGGTTGCCTATTCCACCATCTTGCTATGTGATCAGACTTTCACTTTTATTCAATATAGTTCTTCCTGTTTGGATTTTTTATATCCATCATATTTTCTTTTTTTCTAGTTTAAATTCAATTAGTCAACATATAGTACATCATTAGTTTTAGATGTAGTGTTCAATGATCATCATATCTTCTCTTAAAAACATGAAGAAAGGGGCGCCTGGGTGGCTCAGTCGGTTAGGCGTCTGCCTTCGGCTGAGGTCATGGTCCCAGGGTCCTGGGATTGAGCCCTACATCAGGTTCCCTGTTCAGAGGGGAATCTGCTTCTCCCTTTCCCTCTGCCTCTGACTGCCAATAACCCTGCTGTGTGCTTGCTCTCTCTTTCTGTCATAATAAATAAATCTTTAAAAATAAATAAATAAAAATATGAAGAAAAATATTCAAATTTAAATTAAAAAATGTTGAAGGAAAAAAGTGTTTTCCATTGACAAGAATAGCAAGCATATAAAAAGCATTGGTTTATAATGTTTTATTATTATAATTTGTACTAAAGGTCAGTAAATGTTAGCCTATTTTTACATGTATTATACAAAACTCCAACTATTACCTTTTCCAAATTCTTACAGACTTAGCAAAAATGTAAAAAGGCATTTTGTTATAGGATAAGAAATAAAGTAACAATACAAATTATTATGGAGCAGACATTTAAAATATCTTTTACCAATGTGAATAAGAATAATTGTGAAATAAATGGATTTATTTAGTTTTCCTTTTCTTTTGGGCTTTAGGCATTAGGATTTTTGTCTTCTTATGGAATAGGAATGGAATACAATCAAGCCAAGGTAAGGTCATTCTATTTTTTTCTGGAACAAAACTGAATTTTTTAAAAAGGGACATTGAATAGTCTCCTCTTTAGGCAAAGGAGCTCACTTGAGAGTGGTGGCCAAAAGCACCAGCTCAATAGTCAGAAGTTTAAGGTTAAAATACCATAAGTTTCTTAATGTCCCATATTTCAGGTTTGCCATGATAGATAGATAATATCTACTTCATAGGTATTTTGTGATAATTAAATGAAATGTCTATACAGTGCCCTTTTCAAAGACTCCAGAGCTCACTAAACCCTCCAAAAATGTCAGCCATTTTTACAGATTAAGAGGACAAAATTTGCAATTTATTTTGGAGTAGTTCAAGGTTCATTGCTGGATTAGGAATAAAAAAGCAATGATTGGTTTGAGCTTTAAATTTAGATGGTGGATATAGATACAGATTTTTTTTTAACTTTAGGCACTGATATATTACACCTTTGGAAGTGCTGGAGGAAGCATGATGTCCCAGATGATTTTGGTATGTAAATTAAATAATTCCTGGGCCTAAAAGGTGTGTTATAAATACGACACTGTCAGAATATTAAGAGTATATATGCCTGTGTTTTAGGGATACAGATATTTGTCAGGAATCAATGTTCTACAGAATTGTGAAGTTGCCCTAAATCATTACAAGAAGGTGGCAGATTATAGTGAGTAATCCACATAATTTATTTTAAGATAAATAGACTTGCTGAGCAATTAGAAGAATAAATCAATGCCAGTTGGTATATTTATGAATGTTTATGTTTTTTAAATGACTATGCTTTTTAACATTTGTTATAATTCTTTTAATACAATGTAGAGTCTTCTGATTTCTTAATAGTTACTTTTCAAAGGCTTTAAATGGATGTGCTTGCCATCAAAAGGAATGAGATCTTGCCATTTGCA